ACGACCAGTCCAGGAGTGAATCCTAGCGTCCGCAGCCCGGCCTCCTCCTTATCATCTCATCACTGACTGTATGTTTTCCATGACTGCCGCTCGACACCCGGTTCTGCTCCATATTCCTTCACCTCGTTGTACACATACAATGCCTTGCGAAAGTATTCGGCCCCCTTGAACTTTGCGACCTTTTGCCACATTTCAGGCTTCAAACATAAAGATATAAAACTGTAATTTTTTGTGAAGAATCAACTTGCAGTGGGTAGAGAAAATTTTCAGACCCTTTCACATTTTCCCCATTTTGTTAAGTTTCAGACTCATCTGAAAATGGATTCAGTTCTTTCCCCCCTACATCAACACACAGTTCTTCAATGACAAAGCAAAAATTAGTTTTTGGAGCATTTTGTAAATGTATCTAAAAATAAAACACTGAAACATATGCATTCAGACCATTCACTCTGTACTTGCTTAAAGCATCTTTGGAAACAGCCTCAAGTCTTGAGAGTGAAACTGCAGGTTTGGCACCTTACCTTTCTTTTGGAAATTTCTTCCATTACATGCTGTCTGAATACTTATGACCATGTGATACTGGATGGGAAGCATTGGTGCACAACCATTTTCTGGTCCTGAGATGCTCTATTGGGTCCAGGTCCAGACTGGCTGGGCCACACCAGGATTTTCACAGAGATTTCCTGAAGCTACTCCTGTGTTTTCTTGGCCATATGCTTCAGGTTGTTGTCTTATCTTTGCCCAGCCTTAGATCCTGAGCACTCTGGAGGAACTTTTTACTCAAGATTGCTCTGTATTTTTCTGCATCCATCCTTCCTTCTATCCTGACTAGTGTCCCAGTTCCAGGTGCAGAAAAACATCCCAACAACCTGATGCTGTCACCAACATATTTGTAGGGATGATATTAATGAGGTGATGCTCAGTGCCTGGTTTACTCCACACACACTGCTGGGAATTGTGGCCAAATAGTTCAGTCTTATCATGGTCTGAGACTCGTTCAGCAAGCAGTCATGTGCCTTTTAGTGCGGAATGACCTCAATCTGGAGTTCACCAATCAACCTAAGCTGCATGTCTCACAAGTGGCACAAGAAGAGCATTTCATATCAATGTCCTGTTTGGATCTATACATATATTGTTTGGTAGGGCAGCATCTATGAACAAGTTTATACATCACTTCTTTTACTTTGTTAGTAATAAAAAAAAATTCGCAGTAGAGACCAAACCTTCTTCCAGTCAGCTGACTTCACAGTCTGCTCTTTACCATTCTGTCGGACTTTGTGACGTCACCATGTCCTTAATACAGCCATGCAATTAAAGCACTGGATCAAACCTAACAGAAGTAATAAAAACTGTAATATAACATTGTAATAACAATCTAAGTTTACAGTCTAAGAATTATGCCAATAAAAAAGGGTAAGCTTGTATAAAGGAATAAAACATGGCCAACTGGCAACTTAAGAAAAACTCAATTTACCAAACAAATCAGTCACTCCTGAGGTTTGCATGCATGCGAGGACTCATTGTTTGGGTTAGACCAGGGGTGGAACCTTATATGTGTCTTTCCTAATTACAATAAATTAAGTTAGGCAAAGGTAGATTCTAATCAAGCTGTAGAAACCTCTCAAAGACTCTTGACAGTAGCAGGATACACCAGAGCCTAATTGCAAGTGTCATAACATTGGGTCTGAACACTTGTGTAAATGGGATATTTCAGTCTTTTATTTTTAATTAATTAACAACAAAAAAAACTCCCAAGACTTGTTTTCACTTTATTATTGTGAAGTATTTTGTGTAGCCATCCATCCATCCATTTTCTTCGGCTTATCCGAGACTGGGTCATGGGGGCGGCAGTCTAAGCAGAGATGCCCAGACTTCCCTCTCCCTAGACACTTCCTCCAGCTCCTCCAGGGGGATTTCGAGGCATTCCCAGGCCAGCCAAGAGACATAGTCCCTCCAGCATGTCCTAGGTTTTCCCCGGGGCAACCTCCCGGTGGAAGATGCCCGCCCGGAACACCTCCCTAGGAAGGCGCCCAGGAGGCATCCGAAACAGATGCCCGAGCCACCTCAGCTGGCTCCTATCGATGTGGAGGAGCAGCGGTTCTACTCTGAGCTCCTCCCGAGTGACCGAGCTGCTCACCCTATCTCTAAGGGTGCGCCCGGCCACCCTGCGGAGAAAGCTCATTTTGGCCACCTGTATCCGGGATCTTGCCCTTTCGGTCATGACCCAAAGCTCATGACCATAGGTGAGTCGGAACGTAGATTGACCAGTAAATCGAGAGCTTTGCCTTACATCTCAGCTCCTTCTTCACCA